TCAATTTATCTTACCGAAGCTATAATTAAAAAATTCATCAAAATTAGATTACACTATATTTGCTCTAAGACTGTCGATAAAAGCAATAGTGATAGACAAAAGTTTACTAAATTAATTCAGCATAAACATCAATAAATGTTTATGGTAAATATATTTAAATTGTTTTTTGTTGAGATTCTATAGAATTATTAATTTAATCATTTCTGAAAATATCTCCAAAATTTATGTTTAATTTTTCAAAAGTTTTAGTTTATTTTTATATATAAAATATTATTTAATGTGTTTGTTATACTAGCTTATTACATTGTTAAATGTATTATATATTATTAAATAATTAAAGAAAAATTTAATGTAAAAGATTAATAAAATTTTAAACTTTATTATTCTGTACTGTGTATTTCACACATACACTGTACATGTTTTATGTGTGCGATAATCTTTGAAACCAACATGGCGGCCCCCCCCCGCCGCGAACGTGCCTCTTCCCTCTAGGTTATGCACCGTCCCTCTATTCCTTAGTCCGTGGATTGAAGGGTCTGTAGCACAGACCGACTCGATTGCCAACTTTCAATAGACCAATCACAGTGAAGCATTGACTGATTGGATCGGCCGACTCGAGTCGTAGCTAACCGTAAGCCCGTATCGAAAGTATATGCATTGTAATCTTTGAGTAGCGTATATAAATAATTTTTACGTTTTAGCATTGACCAATTGGAATCAGCAGTCGTAGTCGGCAGTCGAATCGGCCTGTAGTCGATAGTCTGATACAGGCTTTAGTAACGTTAATGAGTAGTTATTTTTTACTAATTTTATACTCAATTATGCATATGCATAATTATATGCATAATATATTGTAAATGTAACATATATAATTATTATTAAATCAATTAATATTAATATATTAATTAGTTTTATTAATGTTGGGTGCTTTCCAGTTGCGTACACTGTGTTGCACAAAACCAATTTATTGGTTGCATATTATCTTACAAGATATTTTAGATAATATGTAATCAGTAGACTGGTTTTGTGTACGTGTGTGTCAAGATGTGTTAAGCAATTGGAAAGCACCCGTTATAAATTTAAATATTATTATACAAACTTAACCGACAGCACTAAAAGATGTTGTAGGAGCTTTGCATCCATTACTTCAGAGGGCGCATTGAGAAAGCGTCACAGAAATTTTCGAGTTTCTTAAATTGAGTATTGGCGATGACTGCTGTTGGAGATTTGAACTTGAATAATCGGAGCGAAGCAAGTAAAAATTGAAATTAGACGATTTATCGTGTTTTAATCTTTAATATTATTACGCAACACCCCGACTAGACTGGTAAGTAAAATCTTACTTAAATTTTATTGCACACTTTGTCTGTGCAGAAAGAGACAGAGAACAGAGAGGGGCCGTACATATTGGCTTCACTTTTCTAACCGTATGCGGGGTCCATGTATACTACGTCTATGGCACAGACTAGAGACCCTTCAATCAGAGACTGGCCATAAGATTTTGTCAAATTCCTGCAAGAAAGAGAATAGTATAGGCTATCTCGCTCTTCCACGAATAGTGTGTGTATATGTGTGGCTCTATACATGTATGTGTATATAGTGTGGGTTAAGCGGTGCAACGACGTGCTGAAATAATATTCCGCAAAAATGGGTGGATGTTGTGCAGAATTTTGCAACAATTCATCATCGAAAGGATATATCATGAAGATATTCCCTAGAAATTCTGAACGTCGAGCGATATGGGCGAAAAATGTTGACCGGAAAAATTGGACGCCTACAAATAATTCATTTCTTTGTGAGGTTACGTTTTATATTTCTTACAAAATTATAACAAAATTATGAATATATTATTAATGTAATGAAAAATGATTATGATATGAACATATTTTCTTTAATTGATATATTTATATTTATTTTTCTTACTGTAGGTAACTTATATATTGTATATAATATTTTATTTTTTATTTCATTTTGTTTACAATTTGAAAATGTGAAAAATGTTAAATTACTATAATAATTTTGATGTTTAATGTTTATATATTTAAAAAGTGTATATTTTTAAAAAGAATAATTATATAACAATTGGGATTAAATATGGTTTCTCTGTTTTTATACAGATATATTTTGCATCTGATATGTGGCAACAAAGATTAGATGGAAAAAAAAAATTGGAAAAAGATGCAATTCCTACTATATTTGGTTTTTTTCTTAAAAAGACAAACGTGGTAAATAACAATGTTTCTAATAACGTATTGATTAAGAACAATGAACGTCAAGATATGGAATGTGAAGTAAGTCTGGAAACAATAATACCACAATAATGCATTTGTATAACATAAAACTTCTTTTCAGATAAACATGAATACTTCAGAATCTTCAATGTTTGAAGAAATTGACATTAATGATGACGTACCACATAATATTTCTAACAATCAATTAATTAATAATAAAAGTCAAGATGTGGCATATGAAGTAAATATTAAGTATTAAAACAGTAATGCTAGAAGAGAAAAGTTTGATGTATTTGTATGACGTAAAATTTTTTTCAGATAATTATGAATACCTCAAACTCTTCATTGGCAAAATATGATGTAAATAGTGATGCGCCAGATTGTGACGTGGCAGATCATGACGCTAATGGTGACGTGCTAGATATTTCTAATAAATTGCTTCATAATAAAAATGAAGATATACGATGTGAAGTAAGTATTACACAGAGGAAAAGATAGATGGAACTAAAATTTTGTTAATATATGGAGAACAAAAAATATTTGCTTCGTAGACTTTCAGTTTGCTGCAAGAAGAAAATTTGCTTGCTATGAAATTGAAAGTATCAACGCAAATATTTATAGTTGTCCATATATTAGTACAATGTTAATTATTCTAGTTAAATCTTCTCCGTGTATGTGTAAAAACAATAACGCTATGACAGAGAAGTTCAACATATTTATATGACAATATTTTCTTCAGACATCAACTTCTGAGTCTTTACATAGTACGGATAAAAATGTAAGAAAAAATAAGCAATGTAAAAAAACAGAAATTATAAATAAACAATATTTACAAATTATAAATATGAGAAGGAAAATGAAAGGTCTGAGAAACAAAATACAGACATTACAAATTATTATAAAAAACGATAAGTACAAAAGAGCTGTATTATCAATTTTTAATGAAGATCAAATTCAGACTTTAATGAAAAAAAAGCGATGTCGAAATTGGTCCCATAAAACTATTCAACGTGCTCTACAACTTATATTTGTTTGCGGATCTAACGGCTATAATAAACTTATTCAACAAGGATACCCATTTCCAAGTTTACGGACGCTAATTAGAAGATTTCAAATTTGAGCCAGGAATTTCGAACAAAATGTTTGAATTTTTGGTCACATAAAATGTCTTGAAAAAGAAGCTGATTTAGAATGTGGCTTGGTGTTTGACGAAATGGCAATCACACTCAAAAATTTTTATAACTCATCAACAGGATCAATAGTGGGAAACATCACGTTTCCCAACGAAAAAGGTATAGCAACAAAAGCTCTCGTGTTTATGCTTGTCGGTATAAATAATAGGTGGAAGCATGTGGTGGAACACCATTTTACTGGTAACAGTTTCTCTTCTGCAACTTTGAAACGTATTATTTTTCAGATAATTACTAAAACAGAACAAATGGGTTTTCATGTTAACTTTCTCACCTCAGACATGGGTCCTGGAAATGTCGGACTGTGGAAACTATTAGGTATAAGTACAGAAAGGTTTAGTACAATAAGTAATTGTATTA